ACAGACAATCATTCGTGCTCACATTCACCCGTAAGCACAATTTAGAATTACAGGTTAATCTAACTTCATGCGCGTGTTTGGACTACAAGAAGAAGCCACAGTACCCAGAGAGAACCGACATAAACATGGGGAGAACTTCTTATTCATTCAGCGTGTGAACGCAGTAAATAATAACACTGAGAAACAGCTTCAGTAAGATGCATGCATAGTGAAGTGCTTAGCCACGATCTTGTGCCATGACACCCATGCTAGCTACTCCAAAGTCAGCATTAAGAGTTTAAAGCACCTGAATACTATAGTGCAGTACGTCATTATGTATTACGCGTAAATTAATTGCATGACTCGAATGACACGTGTTCATAAAAAATGTGTAAATTAACCTCTGGTGTGACGTCTCTGGGGGCGAAGCCGGTGCCTCCGGTGGTGAGAATGAGGTTGAGTTCCTTTTCGTCGCACCAGTCCACCAGTGTCTCCTGATAGAAAGAACACACATGCGAGTACAAATTACTGCTCACCGTGGGATCGACCTATCCAGATAAACAGCAAAGCAAAACAAACAAACAAACAAAAACACATATCCTGTAATAAAGGAATACATTAAATAGATGGCAGTTACCTTAATTTCATCAATTTCATCAGGTACTATCTTGTAGGCCGCGATCATACCACCCAACCTGTAAAAGGTAGAAATAATGATTTGATCACAAAGCAGTAATCCATGTTCACCTCTCACCAGAGTGAGGTAAAAAAAAAATCTATGCACTCAGTATATACCATAAGTCTGTATTACAATATTCTTGGCTTCAAGGTCCAAAAAGGGAAGCCATTGGGAAACTGCCTGGCCAGCAGGAAGCAAATTCAATGTTCACTGAAAAAAGTCCAGTGGTATAGGAGTCCATGTGGAAATCACCCTACTTCTCATTTGATTTATTGACACAGAAAAACATTTTCGTAATGAGTTTCTGGTCTTAATCACTAATTCAGTTTTTTTTAATACTTCCTGATGTTCACTTTGTAAATTTCAGTCCCATTTAGATTAAAATACTGAAGAAAATTTCTACCTTGCGATCAAAGAAAGTGAAAAAAGTAAGTGTGCAGCATATCCACTGCATTCTTTGTGACGCCTGGTTTATAATCAACAAGAAACTGCACAAATCTGCAAACTCGCGGATGTTGTCCATCATTTACATACACAAGTGAAAAGCCTTTGCAAAACAGCAGGCTAAAGCTATTATACAATATTACGTTAATATTATACAATCTCCTATATATTTCCCAAAGCAGTAAAGCAATGAAAATGTGGCATATTTTTAGATAGGTTCATCCTCTGTCCTTCAGCTACCACTGGCCTTTAGAATAAGGCCTACACCTTTATTACACATTCAAAAAAAACCACACAGCTGTGGACACACTGATGGAGAAAATACAGAAGAGAAGACAGAGACTCTCAGGATGTATTTTAAATGTGGGCAAAGTGAAGGAGATGAAAACAGTCTACGAGACTGAAAACAGAGGCAGGAAGGAGCGAGAGACACAGCTTTACAGCACCAAAAATGTCCAGAGAGAAAATGCCCTTGAACATCCCTTCCTGAAAGGATTTTCCACAGGATGGCCCAGTGAGGAAGGAGCTCTGTCAAGGACAGGGCTGTGCTTCAGTTTAAGAGCGAGCCACAGTGACCTCCTGTGGTTAGTTTCAGTACCGCACTAGGAAAAACCCCCAAAACAAGGCAAGAAAAAAACAACCCCAGGCTCAAGGTGAAGGCTCTACACAGACACCCCCTTATGTAATACTTTTTCTTTTTTTTCTCTAACCAGCACTATTTTGGGAGACTTCTGCATGATGTCTCCCCTCCGCATCAGACACTTAAACGCTATGATACCCTCCCTTAGACAAACACCCATTAACTCTGAACATTAAAACTCTTTTTCTGCCTTTCAGATACTTTTATCCACATGGGAACCCTAACTCTTCGCACACGGAGTTACAAATTGTGTGCCCTGGAAATATAATTCGCTGAATCCATTGGCTCTGCTTCGTTTTCAAGCTGTGCGATGGAGCAGCAGTGAGACGAGCCACCGCTAGACAACACCGAAATACTGCAGCAAGCATGCATGAAGATGAAGCACGAGGTTCAGAGGGAAGCTGCTTCTGACAAAAGATGCAGAGAAGTCGGGAAGAATCGTTTAAGAATGACTTTTGCATGTAACACTGCACATGTAGGGCCACTTAGCATCCACTAACTTGTGCATTCATGCACAGACACACAACCGCACAACTTCCCTGCTGACATTCCTGTGATGGCACGACTGATTTACTTCTCTTGATGTGTACGGAAGGGGTGGGGGTTTTGGCATCTCTGTATGTATCTGCGCGTGCATGTGAGCGCGCGTGTGTGTATACATGTTCATGCGCGCGCACTTGCCTGTTGATGTGTCTGTGCGTGCGTGTGCGTGCGTCTGTGTTACACCTCGGGAGAGTAAAGGAGCTGTCAGGACAAATCACCTCTCTCGCTCTCCTGGGGTTTTTATGCCTCTCTGTTTCAGCCCAAATGAAAATATGCTCAACACAAATAGCTAGGGTTCCTTCCCACCGTTTCCTAGGCAACCCCTCCTGTCTGAAGCCTCCAGTTGCTGTGTTGTTCAATGTGAGAGAGTGCGTGAGAGTTTGTGTGTGCGCCGGTGCATGCATGCGTGCGTGTATGTTTTGTTTTTTGTAACTATCGGGGACACCAGTTGTCTGCAAAAGCAACAATATGTTGTGTTGACTAGATGTTTTTTTTGAGCATTTGTCTGTAGGTGCATGTTCATGAAAAACAGACAAATTAAAGGAAATACCTCAACTTTATCAATTCGGTGCTTCTGTTATGCTGTGAGGGGGATTTTTGTGACGACTCGCCCCCTTCAAAGGAAAGGTCACTGCAAATCTGTCCTTCTGAGTAAAAACTTTTACTTTATTTTATTATCAGAGCCTTTATTTATTCAGGTAAAAGTCCAACTGAGGTTAAATGTTTCTTTTTCAAGAATGACCCGGTCAAGGGGGCAGCAGGCAGTCATATAATGGATGAGGTCTCTTTAATGCCCCTGATTAATAGAACAAGAGGTGTCACTGAATGGTTTAATGAGGGGGATAGTAATGTGACTCACATGCTATAAGGCCAGATCTCAACCCCACTGAAAACACCAAATGAGGGACAAATGATGTTCACGCCTCCACTAGAATTGCAGAGATGCACTCTATTGTGTGCGCTGAAACTGTTCATCAACATGGATGTGTGTAGATGCCTTGTATTTTTAATAGGAAGAATGGATAGCTGGATATTGCTTACATTATAATAATATGTACTAACTGTATGCTATTAGTATACAGTATACCTATCAGAGAGAAAGCAAAAACCTTAAGAGAGACCAAATGAACCACAACCTGGTTCTTTAAAAATACTGCAGCTGCCTCCTATTAGATACACTCACGAGTATCAATTTCATAATCCTACGTCGCCTTGTTCTCGAGTTATTACATTCATAAGATTATCCAAAACACTTGACATCTGACCTTGACCTTGTGGTTGATATCACTGAAATTCCAACTTGTCCGAAACTTTTTGCAGATGCACCTGTGGTATCAATTTCACAATCCCAGGCGACTTCTTCCTCGAGTTATCGTATTCACAAGATTTTCAGAAAAACTTGAACTCTGACTTTGATCAAGGTGACTGAGATTTTTTAGCAGATGCACCTGTGGCATCAATTTGAAATTCCTACGTTGCTTCGTTCTCCAGTTTTTGCATTCAGAAGCTTGGATGTCCACACAGAGTGCATGACCACCCTGGTGGGGTGACGACAATACTTCATTGGCCTTTTACGGGATACAGAAAGAACACACTGGCCAGCTTAACAATACCAAAAGATCTGAAAGAACATGGATGAGTAAAGTGGATGATTGGCATTTCTCTCCTGACTTTCTAAAACCCCCATCACAACATCCGACCAAGTTAATAACTGTCTTGAGGAGGAAGGTGTATCATAATGTGATAAGAAAAAGCAAAAAGTTCACAAAAATCTTTGCTAATGGAAATACAGCATTTACAACAATGTGCAAACCACTGATTGCACTTAACAAAACGAGATTAGACTGTGCAGGGAAACATCAAAAAGAGCTCGCACTGTTCTGGAAAACTTTCTTTTGCCAGATGAAACCAAGATGAACTTATAACTTTAGAATTACAGAGAAGAAGAGAAACTGCTCATGAGCTGAAGCATACCACATTATCTGTCATACAAGGTGGAAGCAATGTTATAGAATGAGTATGTGTAGCTGCCAGTGGACCCGGCCCACTAGTCTTTATTGATGATGTGACTGCTGATAGGAGCAGCAGGACAAATTCTTGCACAGAGCTTTACCTTCTGCTCAGATTCAGCCTAATGCTGCAACACTTATCAAAAAGCGCTTTACACTGCAAATGGATAATGACCCAAAACAAACTGCAACCCAAGGGTTTTTAAGTGGGGATATTCTTCAGTGTCCAAGTCAGTCATCTGATGTCAACCCAATAATAGCTTTTCGGTTATTAAATACAAAACTGAACACAGAAGGGCCCACAAATAAGAAACAACTGAAGGTGTCTGCAGAGGCAGAGCATCTAATAAGAGGAACCTCAGCATTTGGCGATGTTTGTGGGGTCTATACTTCATCCAGTCAAAAACTGGAAAGGATTTTCCTCCAAGTATTAAAAAACATTTTTATATTTAAAATTATGTTCGTTTTTCCGATGCAATTTGAGCCACAGGAAATGTGGTTCCAGGTATAAACTATACAACAGTTAATGCAAGACTTCAGTTAAATGCCTTGAATTAAAGCTGAAAGTCTCCACTTCAATCACATCTTGACTGTTTGATTTAAAATCTCCTGTGGTGGTGCGCAGAAGCAAAATCACAAAAAACTGCAATTGTCTAAATATTTATGGATCTAACTAAATGTTTAAATGAAAAAGAGATCTGCAGTAAAGGCCTGGCGAAGCATTACGTGATGCCTGAGTTGAAGCTGCAAGTGCATGTTTTCAAATCTATTGCAGTGGCATATAGAGACAAAATTTCCAGACCTACCTGTGTATATTTTTGTGCATGTTTGCACACAAATATGTGTATACTATTTAAACATAGACATAGAACACAGATGTGCACCACTAACTTGAATAATACTTTGTGGGTGGGATTAAGAAAACGGGGCATCATCTTCTTAGTTAGCCACCTACCACCTACCTGTGAGAAAAAAAAGTAAGAAATATGGCCGCACACATGCCTAGGGGCAACCAAAGTTTAAATTAACCAAAATATTTCAAAAGGATGAAATTGAGGAGGTGCTCCTTATCTCTGATGACTACTGATGTTTTTCTTCTTTTTCTTGTTAAATGAAAATGGAAACACCAGGAGTGTACACAAGTTTTTACTGATGGCTGGTACAAAACAAAACAAAGAAACTCTGCAACTCAGCAAGATCCGATGATATGAACACCGTGTAAACCTAGGTAGTTGAATTTACTTTGATTGCTATCATCACCCTACCACTGCCCACCTATTTCCACAAATGCAAAACAGTGGTTTGTTCATGCACATAACGCTGCTTACAGTATGTGAACATGCAAAATACACATACATATTTGTGCACATGGAAGTATCA